TCATGAGCTTTGTAATGTTTTGAACAACCAATTAAAAAAAAAAAGATCAGCATAATTGAATTCTAAGGCATTGTCCTCACTCCAAAAGAAACCCAACACTCATCAGCAGTCACTCATTTTCCACCTTTGCAGCCCTTAAAAATTGTTAACCAACTTTCTGCCTCTATGGCTTTGCCTATTCTAGACATTTCATGTAAATGCAGTCATGCATTATGTGGCTTTTTCTGTCCTGTTTCTTTCAAATACATTAATGGTTTCTTGGTTCACCTATGTTATAACATAAATCAGCACTTTATTCCTTTCTATGAGTAAATAATATCATGCTGTAAAAATATATACATTTTGTTTTTCCATTCATCAACTGGATAGTTGTATTGTTTACACTTTTTAGTTGTTATTAACAATGCTGCTGTGAACATTCATGTATGAGTTTTAGTAGGAATATGTTTTGTTTCCATTGTGTTCATACTTCTTACTGAATTTTAGTTAGTCAAATAGCTGGATCATATAGTCACCACTGTTCAAATTTTTGAAGAAGTGCCCAACTGTTCTCCAAAGTGGTTATGCCATGTTATATTTCCACCAACAATGTATGAAGGGTCCAGTTTTCCCAAATTCTCATCAACACTTGTTATCATTCATCTTTTTTATTCTAGTCATCCTAGTGGGTGTGAAGTAGCATCTCATTGTGGTTTTGATTTGCATTTCATTAATGACTAATGGTGTGGCGCATCTTTCCATGTGCACGTTGACTATTTGTATATCTTTGGAGAATATCTAATCAAATATTTCACCACTTTTTAATTGGGTTATCTGTTTTTGTTGTTGTTGTTTGTTTGTTTTACTGTTGGGATGAAAGAGTTTTAAAAAATATGTTCTGGATACTAAACTCTTTTCAGATAAGTAATATGCAAAAATTTCTTTCCAATCCATGGATTGCAGTTTTTTTTTCCCCCACTTTCTATCTTGATAGTGTCCTTTGAAGTGCAAAAGGTTTTCATTTTTTGCTTTTGGTGCACTGCTAGGAAAGGACTCTTCCAGTCCTCAAAACTTTTTAATTTCAATTTTTTTCTTTTATTGTTTGAGATTATATATCTAAGAAACTATTACCTAATCCAATGTCATCCAATGTTTTCTTCTAAGAGTTTTATAGCCGTATATCTTAAACTTAAGTCTTCTGCATCTAAACTTTTAAACTCATGTACTTTAATAGCAAACCAGTTTGGGAAAGAAAGAGCAAGTAGATTTTGATAGCCTCCAAGAGTTCAGAAAAAAAGTATCAATTTTGGTGCGGGATTTGTGAAACATATGTCGAATGATCAGAGACCTATTTTGATCTACTTTCTGTTTTTTTGTTTTCCTTTTTCCTATTTTGCAGATGGTTAAAAAGTCCACAGGTATTTGCAGATGATTCTAGAAAGGTGTACTATTGTTTATGTATATGGTCAACTCGTAGTACTAACAAAACAAATTAGTATAAACTTGTTTAGGAAAAGCTCCTTACAGTTTCAAATTTAAAAATACAGACTGTTGTTATAAAATATTTTCAACATACGGTGCCCCACAGTTCTGATCCAGGTATTGGGAGATGCTGTAGAGAAAAGGATGCAAATATTAGCATCTGGGACCTGGTTTCCAACCAAGAAAGTATGGCATGTTTAGGCACATTTCTTTCATCGGCAGAAAGAAGACATTGAGGCACAACCACCAACATCAACTGCTGGTTGACGGTTTGTTCCAGAAATAAAGAGGCCAGTGGCTCTCAAATTTGAATCAGAATCAGTTTGAGTGCTTGTAAAATCATAATGCAAGAAAGTGTAAATTGGATTATGAGAGTTTTAATCAATGCATTACTCCCCTGAAATGGATTAATTAGGTAATAACTGTAGGCAGGTAGGGTGTGGTGGTGGAGGTGGGACATTGGGGTGTGCCTTTGGGGTATAGTATATATTTAGTTGCTGGTGAGAGGAGAAGTCTTTGCTTCCTGGTGGTCATGTCCTGAACCACTTTCTTCTATCACACACTTCCATCATGATGCTCTCTCACATCTTGGGCCCAGAACAATGAAGCCAGCCATCTGTGGACTGAGACTTCTGAAACTATGAACCCCAAATAAACTTTTCCTCCTCTAATATTTTTCTTGTCAGGTCTTTTGGTCATAGCGGCAAAAAAGCTGATAAAACACTATTTATCCCTACCATTGGTCACTTCAAGTCTTTTAGTTTGGTATTAAAATTTTTATATGGTTTCTTTGAGTTAGTGTTTCTCTGATATGCATTTTTTCTGTCTCTTTAGTTTTGGCCTTTCAGGTTTCCCTGTCTTTTCTAATTAGAAAACAAAAAGTTTTCCTTTTAATCTGGGATTTTATATCTTGTAACAGATAAATTTAATCTAATTACATTTATTATGATTATTAATATATTTGAATTTAAGTCTTTCATCTTATTTTGTGTTTTCCACAATTTGAATTGGACCTCAAGTTCAAAGAGGTGAGCTAATCATACATTTTCAGTTTATAGCAATTTATCCTTAGTTTTGCACTTTTTATTTTTTTGTTTTCCATTTTCCTCCTTCATATCACTCACTTCACTCACTATCAGGTGATTGGAATACATTTTTAATGTCTAATGTGTTTATAACAATTGGTAATTGTGTTTAAATGTGCATTTTGCTAATTTAAATAAACATTATATTTAAATTAAGAAAAAAGAAGATTTTTGGGCCCCATACCATGAATTTGCCTCTTCAATGGGCTTTCAGATGATGCTGATGACGATACTGTCCCTGAAACCATGCTTTCAGCAGATATACGGACTGAGTCTCCTGCCCTGGTGCTTACTGAACATGGAGTAAACATTAGGTCAAGAGATTCATCTGGTAATCCTGCCTGGTGATGAATATGCCAGCAGTATACTAAAGAAGTCAAGAGGCTCTAAGTATGGTTTCTAAATTTGGTTAAAATTTCTAATCACTAATAGTCACATTTCATGTTCTAGGATTATGATCTTTTCCCAAATGCCATTTAATCACTTAGGAAAGCATCTTGATTTCGATAAAATCATCAGAGATGATCTAAATGGTTTTTGTTTTTCAGATATTTTTTGGTATTTGATGTTGCTAAATGCATGTGGTCACTGGCTGTGGGTTAGGAATGCTATTCAGGAACATCCACTGTGTTTGTGATAACGTATTTGACCTGTGGCCAAATGGTACTCTTGAGAGATGTGGCTGTGACTTTGACAGATTGAGCCAAAGTTAAATCCTGATGAAGTGCAAAGGAATTTTATCAGTCCCAGGATGGTTGCCAGCTGAGTTGGGTAAAAGGGTGACTTTCCAAAAATGTCCAGAGCAATCTGCATTTATTCTGTCACCTCTACATCCAATTTTCTCAAAGCCTGGCTAAAAACTTCATTTTCCTACTTTCTGCCATTTCCAAGACCATAAGCTTATACATGAAAACCAAATGTTAAGCAATGTTCCTGCCTCTTTACAAATCAGCAAAACTAGAGTTCAGCAAGCAGAAGGGAGTTGACAGTTTTGCTGATGTCACATGAAGAAGAATGAGACCTTAGCTCATTTGGCTCTTCAGTAAAGAAGATAAGTAGAAAATTTGTTTCTGTTGATAAATTGAGGAGTTTCAAAAATAGACAGAATTTTAACAGGCTGGCCACAAAAAGTCATTTTTGTATTTATACTCTTATAGCCATACCTAAAGTCAATTAATTGTTTGAAGGAAAATAGAACATTTCCTTCAAGAAGAAAATACAAGTTCTATGCCAACCCTGTCTCCAACCTCCTCATAGCATGTCCACCTGTGGCTTCAATTCTGCTCTTCATCTCCCCTGTGGTGCTCTGCCTCCCAGATCACACGGGAGGACTTCAGAGTCTATCAAAGGGAAGTCCTTGCAATGCTCCAAGGAGAAAGTATTTTTTAAAAATTTTTTTAGATGTATGGACCTTTATTTTATTTGTTTATTTATATGTGGTGCTGAGAATCGAACCCAGTGCCTCACACATGCTAGGCAAGCGCTGTACCACTGAGCCACAGCATCAGCCCCAAGAAAGTATCTTTTTATTTTATTTTTTCCCATATTCTTATTGGTGCATTATAGTTGTACATATTGATGGGATTTATTGGTACATAGTTGTACATGCATGCAGAAAGTATCTTTTAAACAGACTGCAATAAGACCCAAAGGAAAGCCAGTTATCTTAGTACACATATGTCCACCAGAGGAAATATATGTAGTGTTTTTATCCCAGTGAGTGATAACAGTCACTGGGCTTCTAAGAAATTTGACACTGTTATTCCTCCCCTACTTTTCTAAATTACAATGACAGTAACTGCATTTGTACTGAAATCGCCCTAACTGGCTAGCTACTTCATTAAATTACTGTATGATTCCTATTTTATGGGTACAAAATAGTTGATCTCAGTGAACTGGCAACTTAGAAACTTAGGAGGCAAATTAGAGCAATTACTAATAAATTATACATGTGGGAACTAACAATTTGTCTATCACTGAGAAATATGAGGGAAAACTGCCAGACTCCCTGGCTCTGCAATTCTGAACAGGTCTTTTCATTTCTTCCTTTCCCAGACCAAAAGCTTTCATTATCCACACTGGTTACACCATTATTGTTGCTGCTTTCACAGAGTCCAACGTTTATAATACAAAGTTAGAAATATAATGGATAGGATTTGCACTCCTTTTGGAACAGAGGATTTGACTGCTTAAAATTAAAGGACTAAAAAACAAAAAATTTTATTCTAAAAAACTGACATCCCCTCCTGCCCCCACCCAAGGAGTCAGTAACATGTCAGCTTTCTCTTAAGTAAAGTTATAGAGGAAATAATGGCAAGAAGTGGGGGCAAAGTATCTCTCCATTCATTATCATAATTCATAATCACTGCTGTGTCCTCTCTGGGTGAGGCAGTCTGATGAATTAAAGGAAGTTCTGTGTTACAAGTCTCCTGTAGTTACAGGGAGGAGGTGAGATTAGGACAATTAACAAGATAGGATCTCCCTCTTCCTGCTTGTCTCACCTAGGCACCAGGTGCGCCATTCAACATGAAAGGTGTTGATGCCATTCTTCAACCCAGGGCCAGATTCCTCCATCAGCATATTCCTCCCACCTGGGATTGCCTTACCACCACCCACCATCCATTTACGTGCCTGGTAGGTTTTGTTTTGTGTGGTTGCTTGTCAAAAGCTAAGTGGAGGAAGAGAGAGGCTTTTATAATTGTATGCATGAATTTATTCTCATTGGTCTCTTGTTCAAATGGGAAAAAAAAAAAAGTATACAGAGCTTGGGGGAGGGGGCCAAATGTCTATAGATGTTGAAACTGGATATAAAACACACACACACACACACACATACATACACACAAAACCCTCATTATTAGAGTTTTGATATCAGTCCCAAATACCCTCCATCTATGGAGAAATTTTTTTTCATAATTTATATATAGCATTTTCCCCAATACCCAACAGAAATTATATACCTATTTCTCTACATTACTTGATACCTAATCAGTTTGAAAATATTTTCTCTCTTTTTTTCTTTTTGCCTTGATTACAAATGATCCCTTTGTTCATAATCTTATAGTATCACATTTTACCTTTCTTACAATTTCAGTATTTTTTCCCCATTCTCTTCGTTATTTTTGCCATACACCTGGTTACAGGACCTAGTTTCATGTCACCACATCTCCCTGGAGAATCACACAGCAGATATCTCCCTTGAGAATCACCAAAGTTAAAATAAAAGTGTAATCAACACTCATTGTTTTCTATTGGTGCCATGAACATTATTTAAAACAAAACCAATCTCTTCATGAATTCCAAATGCCCTTCTAAATCACTCTGGGTGCTCTTTCAAAATCTGACCTGCATAGTTCCTGTGGGCTGCTGTGGGAGTTGTATTTACCCTGTGTTCACATGTTTGTGTGCTGGGTCACACTAACACTCTGCAGCAGCCCGTGGTTTGTGGATACCTGAGCACAACATGTGGAATTCCACCCTTCTGGGCTCCCTCTAGTTGGAACAAACCTAAAGTAAGGGGATACACCTGCGGGAGATGCATCTGCAACCCTGGCAGTCCTGAGGTCACACCTCTTGATTCATGCTACAACTGAGTCTCTCTCGAATACTTAGATGCTAAAGCACGTGCAGGAGTACAGAAGGTAGTAATGTAAATAGGGAATAGGGGGCAGTGGGTAATTCTCAACTCTCACACCACTCCCCTTTGCTTAAATACATGTAAATGACTCCATCTAGTTCCATAGTACTAGAAAACAAGTTTGTGTGTGGATTACTGCTTCTAAGCAATTATAAATCAGTAAATTATCTGTTAGAACATATGTGATATACATTTTTGTACCTCATCACTATAAAGTGATGGCATAAAAAGACATTATTTTAAAACATTAATTATTATTTGGGGGATGAAGGATGTCTTAGGGAAACTATGTACTTCATATCTAGAACACCAAGTAAAAGCTATTTTTCAAGCTGGGGAGCCCAGAATGAAGGAAAGATGGAAGGAAACCCTCCATTCCCCAGGAGAGTCTGGTTGCTGGGAATCATGGTCCAGGCCCTTGATTCTTACCTTCCCCTGTCAGAGCTACACCTCATTAAGGGAAAACAATACTGGAGAAAACCACAGTAGGAGGGAGAAGCCTCCCCAGTGGGTTCTACTCTGACTTCTGTTCTTTGAATCAAAAGAGCCCTCTGCTCACCTCCTCTATATTTTGGCATTATTCTCTGGGTAATCAAAGGCGGAAGGAAAAATAAATAACCTTTGCAGAATACTCTTACCCTTGTGTTTTGTTCAAAATTCTATGTCACCAAGGAAATAATTAAGAACATCAATTGGAGATTTTTAAATTAAAATCATTACATTGATCAAAGGTAGGACTTATAGCACTGTTCAACAGATGAACTCATTTTAAAATAGCTTTCAAGTGTTGGCCAAGATTTCAGAACACCAGATTAAAGTTGTAGACACGATGGCTAGTTAGACAATAAGAAAATGGCCCTCTTTTTGTAAGCTAAGATGCATTTCTTAGTAAGTTTGTACATATTCAATCATGCTCTGATCATTACTTTTTTTCCAATAAATTAATTTTATCTCTGACTTAAAAGTCTAACAAAAAGTTTTGTAAGTTACATGTGCCAGCTGAAGTCATTTGGCTAACATTCCTTCTTAAATCTATTTTAAAGTAGAATATGGTATTCTAATGTTGACATTTTATTATTATATTTCATAGTTTTCCCACATTTAAATTCAAATTATTTTTAAACTTTTATACATTCTGGCAAAACAGCCTGTCTTGGGGGTCTATGTCCATAATGGCAATGTTCTGCCAATGCTATGGGCCAGATGCCTAGGGAAGCACTTCACTGCCATCTGGGAGGATGCAGAAGGTGAGGAGAAGGAATCTACCAGGTAGAGCAAAGGCAGAATCTAATGGCTCTCAGAAGGGCAGTAGGTAGTAGACCAGGATCTACGTAGGGGAGGTGAAAAGCCAGAACTGTACTGGCTAAAACTCAGGATGATTCAAAACTTAAACCTTCCCATGGATACACCCAAAAGAATCTAGGAAACTGAAAGCCTTTTGAATACATCAATCTTCTTTAACTAGAAAATGTACCTCATTTTCTTCCCTTGCCATATCATTTCCCCAGTAAGCCTGTCTCTTTTGGTTTCTTTTACTTTCCTTGTAGCTGCCTGCTGTTCTTTCCTGCCTGTCTCTTGTGGCTCCCCAGGGTGATGCTCAAAAAAGCTCCTTCGATCAGGTTTCCACTGTCTTTTTTCCCTTGGGATTACTTTCTCCTACTATCACCCAGGAAATGACAAAGGGGGATATTTCTCTTTCTATGTTAATGGGACTGAGGTACATGTTTTTAACGCTTTTTTGAACTTGTTCGTGATATATTCATAATGTCATGTCCTTTCTAGGATGTGTCTGGGTGTCCATACTACAGTATGGAATACCTTGAGGGTAAAATTCTTAGGGGTGTCTGGAGACAAAATCTCCTATGACTCAATCAATTTTGCCATCCCTAACCCTAGGAGTCACATACTTTTCTTATTAGTTTGCTCTGATTTCAGATTCAGATCCAAGTCTGCTCTCTCAGTTCCTTTGCTACTTGATGTCCAGCTCCACTGCTTCTGCTTCAGGCCAAATGGCTTCCTTGCAAGTCACGTGACCCTTTGCCAGAGCATTCAGGCTATCTGTGAAGCTGAGCCCTGTGCTCTTTTTTATCTATCTAGACCTCCTTACATCCTTGACTGCACCCGGCCCACCCCACATCAGAGCAGCTGATTAGCTCACTCTCCCCACCCAGCTCAACTCACTCTGGCTTCCTCCTGACTCCTCTTTCTGAAGTTAGGAATTAAAATGCCCCAAACTTCTTTGGGAGGCCACTCCTCAGCATATACAGTTGCATAGGTGGTCCCTCATGCTTCACTTTTTCTGGAGATGCTTGCCCTAATTTTGGACAGCAGGGAGGGCACACCCCTCTGGCACTCTGCCTGCTGGCCTGGCAGGAAGCTCACATCCTGCCTGGTGTGGTCCTGACCTGGTTTCCAGGTTCCTATCCCATATTTGCTTCTGGTCCCATACTACAAGGCAATTCCTAGAAGCTTTTAGGAGAAAGGAAGGTCTAAGTGTAGAAGTGATGACGTGTCCTGCCATCTGGCCCCACTGGGGGTTAGAGTGTTGGCTTATCAGTCTTGGCCAGGATGTTCTCCGTCCGACAGTATTAGCATGTGTGCGTGACTGAAGACAGGCTCTGCTCTCCGGGAACAAGTTTTGGGTTCGAGGCAAATGGGCAGATACAGAGGTGTGGAGGGCTTCACAGTTCACACTACTAATGACATCATCACACTGCCCAAAGTCCTTTTTATGAGGTCCCAAGACATGGCTTTGTCTTTAGCAATAGAATCCATTATTATCAGTTTCTCTTCTTTACAATGGCTGCAAGAAAGCTTAGTACTAAACCTGAAAGTTGCCTAGGGCTTAGAATGAATTTGAGTGAATTTTTAAAATAATCTTAATCACTACTCCATTTTATGTCCTTACTTTTATTTTCAACCTTTCCTTCCCATCTACCTCTAATTTATATTTCCTTGCCAGCCACCTTAAGCCCTTCCTGAATCAAGGTGGGACATAAACAAACAGACATATAAAACAAGGTAAGTTATGAAAAATCGAAACAGCATCTTGCTTATACAGTTGGTTAGAATATAAATTTCTGGAGAGCAATATCTAGTAAATGTTACAATGTACAATATTCATGACACCAAAATACCAATTCCAGAAATGTATCCTATAGTCACACTCACATGAGTGTGCACTATCTATTTGATCATAACATTGTTTTTAATAGAAAAATAAAATAAGATAAATGTCTAGGAATGGCTAAATACATCATGTTGTATGTATCCAAGGGAACACTATGCAGCCATTCAAAAATGAGAGATGAACGTATATGTCCAAACATCAAGGATGCCTCTAGTGTATTCAGTGAATAATAAGGAAACTGATGGTTGAGTTTGGGAGAGTGGATATATTTTTTATTTAAATCTCTTGCCAATCCTGCCACAAATAGCGCAAGTACTAAGGATGGCTTATGTGCATTTTGGAATACTAATGAATTGTCGTGCTCGGCCCAGTCTTTCCCCTAATTCAAAGCATTATTAAATGACAGGCATGAGAAAGCAAAGGGGGCTACCTTCTATGGATTGGAGAGCACAAGCTACAGAGCACAGTTGCAGGAGGATGGTAGTAAAGTCGAAAGGTGTGGAGGCTGGCCTTTGAAGAGAAAGGCCTTGGCAGTTGAGGGTTGCACAATGGGGATTTTGTGATATTTTTTCTATATATGGGGAGTTCTTCAAATTGCCTCCCAAACTCTCAGTAAAACCTACCTTATTTCCCAATACTTTTGCAGTTGGGTTTGTTTTGAAGGGAATGTGATAAAGTGTTGCATATGACCTAAAGGTCAGAGAGGGTCAAGGATATAGGCTGCCCAGAGGGCCCAGACCATCCGGGTCACCATAGATAATCAGGTCCCATGTGGAGTCAGTTCTGCACATATTGGGAATTGAAAGTCAAAACTAGGAAGACTGGAGTATGAGGGAAAAGAGCAAATAAGCCAAATCGAAATCCACATGCAGAAGCAATGGTCTGGCTTAATAAATATTGAGACTCCTTTTCAAAATACCCAGATGGCAGGTGGTAATTTAGGAAAAGGTTGATAGGGTCACAGGAGAGAAGATAATTCCAGAATTTAACATGAGTCAGAGTGGCCATAATTATGCACATGGCAGATATACCAAGTGCTAGCTCTGACTACATTATTTGTTACAGGAATATCTGCTTTATCTAGAAAAAAAAATGGAAACTGTTTCTCATTAAAAAATCCCTCTCATGGGCCACTTTGCCTCTGTGTACCCAGTCCTTTGCCTGCACACAGAACCACTCTCTGTAACTTCTTTCTTTGTAACTGAGACCCTCTTCTGGAACCTGCTTCTGCATTCTGTGCATATATGTACACACCCTATAAGCATATACGTACATATCCCTAAAGGCCGGTGCTGCACATGAAACTGTCCTTAATTTAATATGATGTTGCAACAGGCGGTGAGCTCACCCACCTATTAATGTTTCAGTAATAGTGCAGTCATTCTGAGGAGCTTTTCTTTAGGTCACTGACTCTACTTGCTAGCCCAGAAATTTTTCCCTCAACTATGCTGAAGCTCTTTAAGACATTGAGCTCATGTCTTTATATTGTATTTCCAAAGCCTAGCATAAAGCTTGACAAACAGTTGGTACTTGATAAATAATGAAAGTTCACAATGACAGTCTTCAGAGTACACTAGACACCGAGGTGTTTATTATTATGATTCTTATTTTATAGATGAGGCAAATGAAGTCTAAGTGCAGATCTAAGTTTGGAAGATTCTGAACCCTCATTGTCAACAGCTCTCTGTAAATTCTGTTGAATGAATGAATGCAGAATGAGGTGATAGGTGATGGTTATTAACCCTTTCCATCATGTGGATAAAGAAACTAGGTAACAGCAATGGGGAGGAGATTGCATCAGAAACTCTAGTTACTTGTCTTTCACATAAGTTTGTTCTTCTTTGTTTTCCTAACTTTGTTTGAAATTGTCTTTATTTCTCATTGGAAATGGAAATAAAACCCTGTATACTAAATTGAACTTGTTCAACTATCTCTGATTCTAGCACTCTGGCATAGGAGAATCTTGTTCATTAGTAGATCAAATTGAAATTTGATTGACAGGAGCTTGCCACCATGGACATCTAGAATGAAAGCAAATCTTTCTTTTTCTGAGCTCCTTTTCTTGTTGGAGTCCTCAAACTCTGATGTTACAGGGTTTAATAGGGAATAGAAGTAAAATGAATGCTGCTGGGAAGCAGGATGACCAGAAGGGGAGCCTGCATCCATTCTGGAGGAAAGAGCTGTCTCTTGGCCTCACTGTGTCATTGTCATTTGAGAGTGTGGGCCCAAGGTGACTGGATTTTCAGAATTGTAAGAGAAGCCAGAAATGTAGATTGTATATAGAACTTCCTGAATTTTAGATGCTAACAACTCACTCAAATACTTTTTTTTTTTAAAGAGAGAGTGAGGAGAGAGAGAGAATTTTAATATTTATTTTTTAGTTATCGGCGGACACAACATCTTTGCTTGTATGTGGTGCTGAGGATCGAACCTGGGCCGCACGCATGCCAGGCGAGCGTGCTACCGCTTGAGCCACATCCCCAGCCCCTCAAATACTTTTTGAAAACCAGTAAAACACATCACATATGGCTGGGTGAACCTGTGGGTCACCAGTTTGCAAATGTGGGGAATATTCAGAGCCATTTTCTGCCCAGTCTGGCAGATTGAGGGTACGGAGAAAGGTGAGATCAATGATTTCAGTTTTGCTACTTGTTAGCATCTTTCCTGATGGGTTTGTTGGGACAAAATGGTTGAGAGAGGGACTAAAATTGCTTTCAGACTATCTGTGGATTTGAAATATGCTGTCCAAGGCACCAGACCCAGTGTCAAGAGGGGGTGGTACTATTGTGTATGACTTTCTCCCATAAGCTACCAGTCAAACTTTGTGCTGCAAAACGAATTGGCCTGGTGTGCACTGACACATGACTTCAGCATTCTTCAAGCTGATTGTTAGTGCATAGCACTCTGCTGAATCTGCAAAAAAAAAAATCCACAACCTGCTGCATGTCTTCTTATATTGCATGTACATAAGGGGCAGCAAATCAGCCTACAGCAGTGAACAATGACTGCTTTCAGGGCATCTGTGGACAGACACTGACCAGAAAGGAAGAAAAGCTTCTCTGAAGAATGGACCTCTGGTAACAAGAGGACCGTACTTCTCCTTTTACCCAGGCAAGGCTGTGCAAAACACCAAATAAATCTGCATCCACTCAGGGATCTACTATTCTGGCATATGAGTACTCAGGCCCTCTGCCTACTTCTTGGACAGCATAATCTCTGTGGCTTTCATAGAGGAAGCCATGCAAAAGCACAATTCAGAAAGATGAGACTTCTGAGACCTTTAGGAATTAGTTTCTGCTGCAGATCTAAGAATGTATTTGGAAAAAGCTTCCTTGAGCCTTATTTTCTTTAAATACATTAGTGAGATGGATGCAGAATATTAATGAACTTCGCAAGGTTGGGGAAATAATACTAAATACACTTACTTTTCAAACTGGAGATGTTTAGTGGAAAGGATTTCTGTTTGTGTGTGTACCAGATATCCCTCCCTCCAATATAGTACCATCAAATTGAGAATGACCCAACCTTTTTTCTGTAAACAAGAGAGAATCCCAAGCCAAAATCAATAGAGTACTGAAGTATGAACAATATCAAATATATTTGGAATAAAACGTGGCTTTTCATTGGCTGTCAGGCATGTTCCCTTTAATTTTAGAAGAAGAATACATTACTTGACTACTATGGCATTTAGAATCCCTGTATTGGAGTAGTCACAAGGGTTTGGTGTGCGTGTGTGTGTGTGTGTATGTGAAATATCTAAGGCTGTTTCCAAAAGGCATTTTCCACTTTTGTTAACAACTTCCTTTTCTAATATGTTAACTTGGTACATTGTGACTTTCTAATTTCAGGCCTTCTCAGACTTTCCAATGCCCAGTTCCAGCATGCTATGAGGACGACCCAGTGATGATGAAACCTGGTTCCATGGCTAAATGTTTGTGCTTCTCATGCTGATAATTTGTAGACCTAGGTCATATTTCAATGCAAGTCCCCCAAAAGAACCTGTGTTCAATCTCTCCTTTTTATCCTACTTTTTTCAATTCCTAGATATACAAGAACCTGTATGTTAAAAAGAGACCAAACAAGAATTGGTTTTCACAAGGATCAAGCAATACAACAAACAAGAGTTTTCTCTTTCTCCAATAAATGTGGTCTTGAAATGGAGAATTTAATCATTCCTTAAGCTGATTTCCCTCTCCCCAGTTGTTTCTCATGCTGACAGTTAAGGTAATCTACCAAGGGTAGCTGAATAAAGAGGTATATCTTCTCTGCAGAAGGAGTCCAGGTACCTAATATATTTGAGAACCAAAGGTTAGATATAATTTAGAAATTAGTTTGTTTGGATTTTATTTTCATTAAGTAAATAATGACAACTTGAGCAGGATATATATATATATATATATATATATATATATATATATATA